AGACAGAAAGGGAAATAGAGAACGAGAGAAAGAGAGAGAGAGAGAGAGAGAGAGAGAGAAAAAGAAAGAAAGGCCGATAGAGAGAGACAAATAGAGAGGGCGAGAGAGAGAGAGAGAGAAAGAGAGAGAGAGAGAGAGAGAGAGAGAGAGAGAGAGAAAAAGAAAGAAAGGCCGATAGAGAGAGACAAATAGAGAGGGAGAGAGAGAGAGAGAGAGAGAGAGAGAGAGAGAGAGAGAGAGAGAGAGAGAAAGAGAGAGCGAGATGCGGCGAAGAGAAACGCAGAAGAGAAGGGGAGGGAGAACGAGCGGAAAGACGAAAAGAAGAAAGAAATAAGCGTGAGAGAGAGCGAGGGGAATTATTGTAATAGATATGGAGATAGAAATGATGAAAATAGGGCACGAAGAAATAGAAATGATGAAAATAGGACACGAAGAAATAGAAATGCTGTCTGAACGAGCAGCCACAGAAAAGGTTCCGCAGTTTACCATGATTGCATTATTACACTTGTTCGCTCTATCGCATCATCGCGTAGATTTCTCTCCCAACATCCAACCCATGCCTCTCCTCTTCTCATCCACGCACCCACCCTATCAGCTTACCAACGCCCGACCACCCCCCCACGTATCACCCATGCCTCTCTCCTCTTCCACGTCTCCCCACACGCCGCACCCTGCTCACATCTCACCCATGTCTCTCTCTCCCACATCTCACCCATGTCTCTCTCCTCCCCCACATCTCACCCATGTCTCTCTCCTCCCCCACATCTCACCCATGCCTCTCTCCTCTCCCAATTCTCCCCACACGCCGCGCCCTCCCTCACATCTCACCCATGTCTCTCTCCTCTCCCAATTCTCCCCACACGCCGCACCCTCCCCCACATCTCACCCATGTCTCTCTCCTCTCCCACATCTCACCCATGCCTCTCCCCTCTCCCAATTTTCCCCACACGCCGCGCCCCCCCACATTCTCACCGCATGTCCTTCTCCCGCTCTCCCAAATTCTCCCACAACACCGCCGCACCCTCCCCCACATCTCTTCCTCTCACTCACCCACGCCGCACCTCACCGCACATCTCACCATGCCTCTCGCCCCATCGCCGCACCGGCCCCCACAGTCTCACTCACATCCACCTCGTTCACACCTACCTCTTCGCATCTGATTTGTTCGTGGCTCTGCGGGGCTCGACAGCGTCAGGAAACCGGCACGTGATCACGCAACCTTATTCGGGGAACGTTATCCGGGTCGCCGGATAAGCAGTAATGCTCACTGCCAGGATTTCATTTCTCGCTGGCATTCATCTTCGCTATAGCCGGACGCGGACAACAGAAAATCACCCCCGACAGCACACCCTACTACTACTAATATCGACTCATTTTAATAATTGCGTGGATATACTTTTTCGGCTAATAACGAAACGCTAAGAGTACCGTGAGACGCGCCACTGGGTTTACAGGATATCCCAAATTACGTTGCGATAAAAAAGGGGATAATGATGCCGCCAGGCGGTAGACGCAGCAGATCTGCTGTATAATCTCCCGACGAAAATATTACTAAGGCATAAATACACTAGGGGATACCTGATGGCGAACGCTGGTCTAATAAGCTTACAAGCCTAGAGATAATGGCTTTAAGCCGTGACTCAAAATTGACCGGATTACTTGTCATTTAAATATCGAAATGCGTGCGATGAGGAAGGCAAATCTAGAACCTCGTTATAACGAAACAGGCTGATGGACTATATTGCAGCACGTCTACCAAACCAACACTAAACCGCATAACACGTGAGAGTCATTTTGGGATAAATGAATAACAAATTTATACTAGTCGTTTCATCACAATCCAGATAGCGAAGTACGGTATATATACACGATCCGTATAAATATAACACGTTAAAATCTAGACATAGGATACCACAACGTACATTGCATCTCCGCGTTATGATGACGCGCCCAATACATCAATCTCGTGTCAAGCTGACTACAACATCTTACTTAAAATATAAAAAGAGGCAACACCTCACCACAGTCGCCGCACACCGCCATCAGCGTAGCTGCTGGCTACTCACACCGGCACGGTGGCCCACAATTTCCCATTGCGGAAACAACAGAAGCAAACGAGTAACGCCAAATGACATTACAGAGGCAAGAGCAGACGTTAGCAACCACACACAGACAAACTAAACGCATTAATGCCCCCTTGACGTCACCATGCCGGATGTCCGTGGGCATAATTCAAATTCTCACAGCGCGTCTATCTATTAAGCTTTCTACTGCGGATGCCGAATACAACCACGTCTCTCACACTCGCTACTTAACAACTCCGTGTAGGAGAGATAGCAGATCTGCCTTGTCAAGCGAGCAATAGGGCAGCCCTTCGCGTGAAGACGGCAGCCGAGAGAACCGCCTTAATATCTGAATCAGCTGCTCGTGACCTTCGGATAAGCGTCCGAACCCGACCTCGGCATAAAATACGGCAATTTCGTCCTCCGCGAAACGTGCGTCAAAATCCGTGTCGCCGAGGATGTCAGCGTGGAACTTGTCCTCGTGGTGAATCGCGGTTACAGAGCAGGCCGTTTACTTAGCCGCACTAGTTTAGTACATCGCGCATGACCTGGAGTATATGGCCGGCGCGTTATGCTTCGCGGAAATTAGAAATCCTTATCCCATCAAAGACAACCATCATTTCAGATTGAAATATGGCTTTCACTAGCATAATATCACGGCCGAAGCGACCGACCTCGTCAATAAGGAATATGTCGTGAAATCGCTAAACGAGAACCGGCCGTGTGATGTCTTCCCTATACCATGCTGTATGCGACGCATGTAGATCACGGCATGTGTCACCCCGATGCATCGCGCACCGCCTACCTCGCCTCCTGCCCCTCCCTATTTAGAACTTCCCCCAGTAGGGCGGTGAGTGTGCCTGATAGCCCCGTTGAGTGTCCCGCTGCGTCCAGGCGGCGGTCGCCCCGCGGGCAGTCTACGTACATGCATGAATAGGTTGCAGGCGTTGCCTCTCTTCCGTTGTGATGTTCGGGTTGAGCGCATGCGGGGCGGTGAATGGAGAGGCGCCCGACAAGTTGATCGAGACGGAGAGGGGGGTGAGGGGTTGGGGTGATGGCCTTTCAAGCGTCGCATCGTAATCGGAATAGGCGAAGAACTGGTTTGGCATTTCTTTGTGTCCGCACGGATTACGCGAACGAAAAGAAAACAGGACGGCCTGCATCGAAATCTAGCTGCATAATAGTCGCGAAGTGCGGCTCGATCAGTGGACAGCGTAAAACTTAGCAAGTAACAGGAATCTTTCGCCAAGAAAGCACCGCAGAGTCTTCTGTTAAAGTCTAATGTAGATTTCACCTGAAACACGCAATGTGAGGCAATTGAAGGCGGTGACAATGTCCTCTGGGCGCGGGGGGGTAACTGGATTTCTGCAAAATTGTGTGCTGGTCCGGACTTCGCGTCGTTCGTCGTTCGCCGTCGCCGTCGTCGGCTATGGTCGTCGTCGTCGGCAGCATCGTCATGTCGTCGTCGTCGCAGTCGGCTAGCAATCGTCAGTGTCGTCGTCGCGGCGTCGGCAGCCATCGTCAGTGTCGCCGTCGTCGTCAGTGTCATCGTCGTCGGCAGCATCGTCGTCGCCGTCGTCGTCAGTGTCATCGTCGTCGGCAGCATCATCGTCGTCGTCGTCACCGTCGTCGTCATTGTCGTCAGCATCATCGTCATTGTCGTAGCGGCAATGGTGGTGGTGTTGGTGTCGGCAACGGTCATCATCATTGCTACCTTTGTTAGCAGTCGGTGTGAGGCAACCGGCTTGATCGCTGACACACTGGAGGGACGATCGACAGACAGACACGACTGCACAGAGGTGGGCGTCAACCCCACGGGCGACCAGCGCGCGTTCACTCACCAAATAAATATCTCCGGCAATCTCCGAGCTCACTCGTTTGTCGGCAATGTTGTTCGGTTCTGCTTCCCGCCGGAATCCGACATCCACACGAGTGTGAAACGAAGGAGGAGAAGGAGGAGAAGGAGGCGGAGGAGGAGGGGGGAGAAGAAGGAGGAGGAGGAGACAGCAGACGGCTGTGTTCCCACCACGGTAAAGAGAGCGCACGCCACAGCGATCAATAGCACTCTGATGACCACTTGTCTCACACGAACAAACCATGCACGCCTCAGCTCCCTACGTGCGAAGTGAGAAGGAGGAGAGGGAGGAGGAAGGGCAGGAGGAGGAGGGAGGGTCAACCACCGATCTAACTCGAAACCCGCCTGCATTCTTTCGAGCGCCACGTAGCGTCATGCACTTAAGCAGACGAAATTCCAATTCCAGTCGTTTCATTCTTTGTTATAGGAGGGGTAAATTTAAAGTGCCAGTCAAGCTATAGTACCCACAACTACATCTTTGTGCTTCTAATATCAAATTTATGTACACAGTTCATTGGGACAATGTCTCAATAGTGGGGGTAAGGGTACAATTTCACTAATTCCGGTATACAGAAGGATCATATACCTGCTATCAAAAATATATCAGTATAATTAGAAGTGATACAATTTTGTCGTTATATATCTAAAGTAGAAGTGATTTATGTGATCAAATTTACGTTTAGAATTCAAAAGACAGCGATATGGCTGATTTTAATTGAGGCACCTTATTGTCTTCCGAGTCATCCACAAGTTCTTAACACATTTTATTGCCTCTGATTGCCCCTACACAAGTGGAATCAACTTGAATTTTAATAACCAACATTTTGCATCAACGCCAGAAGGGGGCATCACATAAACTACGGATTTCAAGTAGATGTTATTGTAGCTACATTTTCTCATTATGTGATTACGTGAATACGCAATTAGAGTCATTCCAAAAACACGAATTGTGTAATAATAGAAGTCATGCGTGCGTGGCGCCATCTATCGCTCATAAACTTGTCTAATATATTATTATATAGGTTATTATAACATTATATTATAATATTCGTATGGTATTATTGTGTGGACTGACTGGATCATAAAACATCACGGGTTGATCAATTTCTACGTGCTAGCGGCACCTCATAGTCTAATTGGACAAACTTCCAATGCAAATTAGTTCATTACCTAATAAATATCTCTCTTTCACTCTTCTCTATCTCACTCTGTGTCTTTCTCTCATTCTCTCTTCTCTTGTCTTTCTCTCATTCTCTCCCTATCAACCTCTTCTTTCTCGCTTTGTTAGTGCTGACCACACTCACACAGGCAGAAAATGATTAGGCAAGATCACAGGTAGACCGAATAATTCTGTCCCATATAACCTTTTTTATATTTTGGTGAGGGTTATATTGGCTATATTCTACCCAATATAACCCTCACCAAAATATAAAAAAGGTTATATGGGACAGAATTATTCGGTCTAGATCACAGGATCATCTAGACGTCACCTACCTAGCTATCAATGCTATCAAACAGAGTAACAGTCTTCACCTCCTCACTCCGAGAATCACTAATACAGAATGATAGCTAGATCTGCAGGTGGAGTCGGTGCATTAGCATCTTCAAGTAAGCCTCACTGCTCGACTCGCCTTGTAGAGGAATGTAGCTAGGCCTTGCTCGATCGACAAGTACCCCACGCAGCCGCAACCTAGGTGTTGTAAGGGTGTAGGCGTGTAAATACCCGACCGAATTCATAAGCACAGTACACGTGACTTCTGTTAACAGACGACTTAACTACCAGCTACAATTAAAATAAAAAGAAACTAATCGAGCCTTTACGTAATACCAATCCAGTACACGCAAGTCGTGGTTGCCAGCTCAATAAAACATATTCTAAAAATTGTATAACGTAAAAGCATGCATTTACGTGGCATCGCCATTTACGCAGCTATGTCTACGGTGACATTGAGGGTAAAGTATCACACACCTGGCAAGCGTTGCCTCGGTGATGTCGCGACAGTCCATCACACGCAGCACCTGTAGTGTCTGACAGTACTCGGCTAGCACCCTGCGCAGACAGAAACGAAGAACAACCGGCCGTCCGCCCGCCGTGAATTCAAACAGAATTTTTCAATCATATATATATAGCACTTGTGTCCGCTAGCGGAACAGATATATTTCGGCAATTCTTTGTGCATTACCAGGCCAAAGTCAATGATGAAACCAAAACAAAGAACACCGTACAATCGAACAAGTCATAGCATCATGTTCTTTTTTGGGGGTAGGGGAGTGTAAAAGATAATGTATTGTATTGGTACTTGTATTGATTCTTTCTGACTAGATACATCTTCGTGTAGAGGGCAACGCACCTTATCGAGTCGTCTGTGACTCGCCAGCAGCCTGATATATTGAGGTCCGTCAGGGGCGTCCGGCAGTAGGCTATCTCCCGAATCGTCGCATCTGTTATGCCATAGATCTTACACAATGACAAATTCTGCAGCCTGCAAAAATGGAAAAGCCACCCTTTTACTAGTAATTTACACAGAAGTTCTGATAACCCATCAATTCATTTAAATCCGACAATTCTAAGAAGCTATCAATCTACTAATCTATTATAAAGGATGCACACGTATTACAATCACTATTGACACAGGGAACTGCATCGTAACAAGATGCTCAATATTCAAAATAAGAAGAACCTGTAATAACCTGTAATAACCTGTAATAACCTGTAAGAACCTGTAATAAGAACTGTAATTGCATTTAAAAAATGAATTAAAAGTTTAGAAAAGATACACGAAAAGTAGTTTAAAAGAAATATCATCAGGGTGACGCGACATCGCGTGACGTCACCCCCCTCGCGCGTGCTCCGTACCTGCAGCAGGCCGCCAGCACAACCTTGATCGCCGCATCGTCGACAGCCCAGCATGACTCGACGTCGATGCGCTGGAGACGCCGACACCCCAGCGCCAGCGCGGCCAGCGCGCTCGCGCTCAGCCAGTGACAGTCCCTCATGACGACAGCGTCGAGGTCGGGACATCCCGCGGCGAGCGCGCGTGGCGTGGCATCCGTGAGCCGCGAGCATCCGCTCACGTCGACGTGTTGCAGGCGCGGGCAGCATGTGATCACACCACAGAGCACGCTGTCGTCAAGCCAGTCGCGGCAGTTGGCGAGCACGAGCGTGCGCAGCACGCGGTTGCCGTCGACGATCGTGTGGAAGCTGCGCGCGGGGATGCGGCCGGCGTAGTGTGTCAGGTCCACCTGGAGACGACGTCCGAAGAAGGCCTTGACCAGCTCAGCGGCTGCGCGGTTGACCTGCGGTGACCGTAACCGCAGAAACCGAACGATAGCATATAGAAGTCACGCCTTCGATATCGGTAAGGAAATCCCGCTGTGATAGCATCTTCGAAAGATTCTACGCCTATGCGTGATAGCTGCTGAGCAATTACCTCTATATTCACATTCTGAAGCATAGATGATAGAAACTAGACATGCTGACTAGAATCAAACATGCACCGAGGTATCAATATCCAGTTTTTGTGAACATCTTAGGCAATAATTAATAACCTGTGCACTCATGTATACGTATATGTAATGCAATCTAATTCGAAAGTGTGACCACATTTTAATTCCCCCAGAAATCCAATAAAGCGTTAGCCACTCAAAAGAGATTCCACTACGATATCATGCCTAATTGTTATGTAATTTTATTTGTATAGCAACAAACCTGTCGAAGGCGGAAGAGGTCATGTAAGGATAACCGACATAAAACGTATCGACAGAGAACGTCCTCCCACGGGAGATACAATAAGCTCGGTCCACATGACAGGGTTTGTGCTCTGTCGAGGCACATGTCCTCGTGAACTAAATGGCATGTATCATGACACGAAGCATCACATGCCATCATCTGGAAAAGGATGCAATTAACATTTTAACTTACTAATAATTATAGCATTTAAAGCATGTGCCTGATGAATAACCAGTGTGCACAATTTGGGACTAGCATGTGTGAGTTTTACTTGTACATATTCAGATGCTGTGCACCTAAAACTTTTGGTGAAGTATGGCATGCCACCTTATCACACCTGCTTCTGAGCTAGACTCCAATTTCAGATGGCGAGAATGCTATGGAGTCTCTATCTCGAATTGTAAAATGGACATAATTACATATCTGACCATTACCATGTAAATGTTCATTTAAATGGGTCAAAAGGGTTACTGTCAACCACAAGTTTGATTAATATTGTCTTGGTTTATATACCGCATGCTGGCTATACATGCTGATAGTCTGGTCGACAATGTGTATATGGGCATACCGCGCTCTCAATCACACGAAGTCGATTGCTGTGCTCAGATAGCTGAGCTGAGACTGGGGATGCGCTGAGATTTACTCTATGCAGTACGCTTAGCTCTACCCGTGTAGACCTTCGCTCCGGCCCTGCTTGTTCGTCCAAACCATTCGCTCATTTGATTTGGTATGCTTCTTTTCTTTCGCCCGTGATACTTCGCTCAACCACTCCCCCAACGGCGTCAGAGTGCAGGGTTAACCCGGGTAGAGATACTCATTCACTCACTCACTCACACACGCATACAGATACACCCCCAGACGCACGCACGCACGCACACGCACACATATATATATATATACACACATATATGTGTGTGTGTGTGCACACTATCAATATCACTATCAGTGTCATATTTATAAAATCTGTTAATGTTATTAAAGGGATCCTTTACTCTAGGTTCTAGGTTTATTTTCAGTTAATTTAGGTTAAAATTACGCTACATAAAAAGTTTCATGGTTCAATCACAATTCGAAATTTTGTTTTTAACTGTTTTAAAACTAACGACTACAGTTTGATTATAACGACGGTGGCACCACTCAAAGCGCACGATCTGAAAAGTTGCGCAAAACGACTTTTCAGCCAAGGGCTACAGACCGAGGGTGTTTCTTATTTATTAATTTAAAAGTAAAAGGATTGTAATATCTTATAAACGACATATAGTTTCAGTTATATTATGGATAAATTTGTCCTAAAATGAACATCATTCGGTTAAATAGCATTTAGGTATAAATATAATTGCACCTCTGTGATTAGCCCTCAGTCTGTAATGTGCAAAATATATTGGGAAATGCGCAACTTTTTCAGGGTGGCAGCACGGTTGCGGGTGTCACTGTCAATGGCGACGTTCAAATTTCGTAGCGTTGATGTATAATTAATTATAACATTAACAATTAAATTAGGTAGGCCCTATCTGGTAACAAGTATGTGTGGGTATAGACGATTTGTTATACAGTAACTTGAGTAAGTACAGTTGTATGCAGTAAAATCATAGAGTCTAGTATCCCTTTAAGTGGTCACGGTACTACTCCTGTAGTGTGTACTGAGTGATATTGACAGTGATAGTACTAGTAGTAGCACTACTAGTACTACTACTACTTCAGTACTACCTACAACTAGTAGTAGTATTACTAGTACTACTACTAGTACGTGATAGTTAGTAGTAGTAATAGTAATAGTATTACTAGTAGTATTTACTGTATTTACTGTACAGCCACGTACACATCACATCAAGTGTTTGTATGGCTATCAAGGGTTAGGCAGCTTGCGCTTATATAAAACCCTGAACTGTCAATAGCGGCCTAATTCGATTTTAAATGGTGAGCAAGTCTTTTGCCGCAATAACATGTTGGAAGGAGCTTTCAGCTGCTCAATCACTCTCTGAGAAAAATGTTTTTCCGTAATTCGAGACGACTGCCGCTCTTTGTACAGTTTCATGCTGTGACCTCTGGTGGTGGACAGGATTGCAGGTGAAAAAATGTCCTATGCATCAATATTCTCCAAGCCTGTCATAATCTTATAGGTCTCGATAAGATCAGCTCTCTCTCTACGGTCTCTAGAGTAGTAAGATTCAGCCTTTGTAGTCTTTGCTGGTATGACAAGCTACCCAATCCTTCCACAAGTTTAGTCGCTCGTCTCTGAACTTTTTCAAGGAGCTCTATGTCCTTTATCAATAAGGTCTCCAAGCTTGTATAGCATATTCCAGGTGTGGGCGGACCAAGGACATGTATAAGGGAACGATGTGTGAGCCTCGACCTGTCGGTAAAACACCTTCTGATTATCCTAGCACCTTGTTTGCCTTTTTTGCTGCTTCTGCACACTGTCTAGATGGTTTTAGTGAGGCATTAACTATAACCCCTAAGTCCTTCTCTCAGTCACGTTGGCTAATGGCACATCGTTCATATAATATGTGACCTCGGGTTTCCATGACCCATGTGTATGCATTTGCACTTGTCTAAGGTTGAACAGCATCTGCCAGTCTCTGACCACTTAACAACTTGTTAAAGGCCTTCTTTAGTGATATCTCTAAACTGTCAAATTTTTACAATTATTTGAAGCAGTATCAACACGTAAATAACGAAAGCATTCGTATATTTTTTGGTTGCCTCTGTGATATTTAAAACACGTCTTGATGTTGGGTCTATGAATGTTGAAAATCATTTATTCTGCCAAACCGGCCACCAGGTGGGAAAACGGCCTGTGACGTCAGGCTAGGTTCTCCCCGCGTTGCGCCGCACACAAAGCCTGCATCAGTGCATGAGCACAAAGCTATCCTCGGCTGTAACTTATATTGGGCATAAACATCAACTGCCATATTAATCATCATGAGCATGATATATATATATATACATATATGCATTGTAGACTTTACTACCGGATTAAACCACATTAATACTCAGACAATAAAATCGGTTCCAACCAATTTCATATGCTGCTTTACTCAGCTCATGCCAATCTGCTCAGTCACAGTGTATACGCAATACGTTTTTGTTCTACTTTCTGTTTGTTCGTGGACCGCGGTTAGTTTACGTTACAGGACAGCTGACCTCAGGGTTAAACACTACCTGCATATATTGATTATTATACTCGTACTGCTATACACTGAGTTTCGTTACGATACAAGCTAACTAAATGCCACATTACACGTGAAAATAACATATGTTACTATTATCATGTGCATAAATTCTACGTATTAAGTCCTGTCATAATTTCCACTACCGGTACGCTAAAACATTTACTATTGACTATTGTCAGCTTTGCTTTTCTTTAGTCAGGCCTACTGTAGTACTGAGGCTACTCTATTTAGAAAATTAGACAGTACTGTAGAATGGGAAATCTGACAGTTGCATTATCTGTTGGAAAAAACTTGGCTAGGCCTATTTAGCTTGTACCGAAAGCAAAAACATTTCATTATGTCAGGAGCGTATAATGTCAGTAGGCCTATACGCTCCTGATTATGTACACCTAGTACCTACAATGAAATACTGAGCTAAACTCACCATTCAGCAGTCTTCCTTCTGCTGGTTCGACGTTGCCTTGAACATTGGCAACGAACATGAACAAGGCATCACACGTTTCCTTGGCACGGTTGCCTTAAACTATGCCTGGGTAATCGTAGCTCCAAGAAACGGTATTGCGAGGATTAGAATATCCATTCCGTCCGTTGTATAAACAATCCGTCGCACAGCCTGGTCGGGCTAGCGTAATCGTTGGCCAACGGTTCAAACATGTACGCAGCTGAATACAACTATCTTCAACATGTTCCACTTCATTGTCTATATCTACTTCATTTTCATCTTCATCAATGCTGATTGACTGTTTATCGCGTATCGTACGAAACTGATAAGTCTAGGAACGACTCTGAATCCGGTGTTCACATTAGGCTCCATTGTACACGCTTGGCAACGGGTAAACAAGCGCGAGTGCCTACCCTGACGTTCACACTACGTCACGGCGAACAAGATAGGCGGGCCTGTTTTGCGGTCAGCAAATTCTTTACATTGTGAACATCAAAAAATATTTTTTCTCATACACCCGCGAAAACCCATTCAACCTGTAAATTCTCAGTTAGTTGTACGATAAACATAGTTAACTTTGATAGGTATGTAACTAGTTTTCCATCACTAAAGGAGGCCTTTAAGATCGCCTTGCTAGCGCTGCTGACTTGCTATCCATCGCACTTGACGCTTCCAATAGCTTGCGTGTCATCCGCAAACTGGTCGAGAGACTGTGGTACGTGTGGCGTCAATGTCGTCAATGTACACTATAAAAAAGGACAGCCGGCCAAGCCCACAGACCCTTGGAGGCAAACACCACTTGTCACTGGTCTCCAGTCCGATATCTTGACCATTCACACTACTCTACTGCCCTTCGTTCCCTTAGCACTCCTCAATCCAACTGACTACGCGTTCCTTCTATTCCAAACGCCCTTAGTTCCAAATGAGGTCTCTCTGTGTGTACCTTTATCGAAGGCCTTTGTTGAAATCCAAAACTATATGACATCAACAGGATTTTCTTCATCTACGTGCTTAAGTGGACACTTTCCAGAAATTCCGAAGATTAGTCAGACATGACCGCCCTGTCCAGCGGAATCCATGTTGTGTGTTGTTCATGAGCTGATTGCTTTCTTCAATATGGCGTACAAATATGTCCCGTAAACACGCTTCCATGATCTTGCGAAGCCACGCGACGTCAGGCTACATGGTCTGTAGTTGCACGGTCGAATCTGTTGCGGACCTTCTTAAAGCTGGGCGTGAACTGGGGTCTTTCCAATCCTCCGGCGATGTAGCCTGTGACCAGGCTGTGTTGCGCAAACATCATATGCAACGGTTCACATACAGATCTGCAGCCTCTTTTAAAACTCTAGGTTGGCAATCTTTCCCCTCCAGGTGCTTGTCGCTTTAGATTTAAACTACTTGGTCTATTACAGCCCTTCCTGACTGAGGATCGACATGGTCTATGCACAGCTATTCTCTCCCTTTGGGGTCTTGTCGATTATGGCGCACAGCGATGTTCAACGTATTCTCGACGAGTAAAACACAATACAAATAGTCATTAATTTCATTGCCAGTTGTTGTTATCTGTTATCCACAGTACCAGATCGTCAGTTATGTGGCCCGCATACTGTCCTCGTTAGATGTCTCCCTCTCACATATTCTCCAAAATCTTGGGTCACTTTTTAATGTTGCCTTGCCATTTATGCTCAACAACTGGCGTTTAGCAGCCTTAGCGCGCGGTGCCTGGTGCGTCTGGGCCTGTTTGAGACTTGTATACAGGTCATAGTCTCGGATGAACCGAAAGTTTATATCTCGTTCATGTTTACTTTTCTGTCGCGCATGGCTTTCACTAACATTCTGTAACCCATGTGGTTTTGTCTTACTGCCGACACCACTCTGCATGACTTGGGACAGATGCTTCGTTCTTCATTGCGATCGCAGTTTCCGTGTGAGACCCCCAGCTAGCTTGTCCGCATACTCTTCGCCAACCCCCCCCGCCCTAACTCAGACTTTCAAAGTCAATACAGTCAGCTTCTCAGTTTGTCATATTCCCCTTATTTAAGTTGTAAACCTCCATGGGTTGCTAACTTCTGTGCCGCTCGGGTTCTCCCACTCTCCGCCCTTCAGCAATGGATTTAAGTGCACCCTCGCGTCGAACGGTCTACTTCGACAACCACGGTCCCATGTAACAATAACTGTGGTCACTGTTGCTCAATATGTTCTCTGTACTTGTAGGTTTTCTCCTACTAGCATGCGGCGGTTCTGTTGTCATTCACCAGATCGTTATACTGGGGCTCCTCTGCCGTAGGGTTAACGCCGTATCAACATGCTGCCTCATAAAGCAGTCTTGAACTAAGCAACAATCCGTGGCACGCGTCTACTCACCGCTTTAGAGATACCCAGTTCTATTTCCACTATGACTACTATAGTAGTAGATAGTAGTAGTACTAGTACGTATATCAGTAGTTATAGTAACTACTACTGCTAGGGTGCTTGCAGTGCAATGCCCATGCAAGCCAATGCAAAATGGCAATCAGCAAGAGATTCATTTATGGCTAATCCATAATCAGCTCACTAAATTGTACATAAACTGTAATAACAACGATACAGGAAGTTAGCACAGTGCGCTTTTATATGTACGCCTGTATCGCTAAATGCTGAAACATGATGCGGCAGTGAGGCCGAGCAGTTAGTCGTACTAGTCGTAATCAATCATGTTACCTTTTTCATGTTTAATCGAGTGGAAGTATTGGGGCCTGCCATCTTTGTGATAGCGCCACCTACACCAAAATAATTTACTCTTGAAAGTTTATACGATGTAGGCCTCGCATTGGTGGTAGATAGCTTCGACGAATATAGTGTTTAGCTGCCGCCGGTTTGTAATGTTTGCTACTACTTTTCATGTCGTCAGTTGTTTAAATATATATATTGCATTATAGATTCATACCTCACTCCATCACTCAAAATCTTTCCTGTTTTACCAAAGCTCGAACTTTGACCTGGATGTGCGGTCAAGTTTGTATCAATCGACCGTTTATAGAAAAGCGTTTTTTTTCACGTACAAGAAAAGTTAAGTATTTGGCAAAATCTGCCACCATGGACCAAAGATTTAAGTATGGATGTCCGTTATCGTGACGGCCTTGTGGTAAAAAATGTTTATGTATCAAACTGGTTAAGGAAGCAAAGTCAACCAACATATCGAGTTGGAATTGGCTTACAGAGTCGTTCGTACCTGCTCAACAAGAACAACAACGATCCTGATTTATCGTGAGGTTCATAATAATACTACTACTAGTTACCAATAAATTAAGGTCTATAATTGCTGAGTAAAGTATTGATAGCTTACAACGGACACTGATTATCATATTCCTTTCATTACGCATTTTGGTATCGTTAGATAGACAAGTGTAAAGTGAGGCTGTTTTGGTTAGCAGTTAGCTAATACTAATACTAGTAATAGCTGGTCTGGTAACCCACAAAAGCCTCGTCTCTCGTTGTGTCAAACCCCCACGCCCAGTCCCAGCTATGTTAAAAGTAAAGAGTTTGAGTGATAGTCAGGGTAAAATATTCCCTAACGTTTACTACTACTAGTGTGGTGGCTATAGACTGGATATGCATTTGTCTAGTGCTTCCCACTTTTTGGTCAAATTAATTATTGTCTTATTAATTTCATAATAACTGTACAATCGAAAAGATATTGCAAATATAGTCCTCGCCTAATAGTGAACGTACATGTCACTGATTATCCAGTGTAAAATTACCATAGGTTTATGCTGTTATAACCTATAGTATATAAAATAGCAATATTTGAAGATCGAATTCTTTTGTATAGCGGCAATTTCCTTGAAATCGCAACTACCAGACAAAGGTGAATCTCATGAGTGGACGTAGTGTTCTATATTGCTTAATTGAGTTATACCATGTAAAGTACAGGACAGGGTCTTGCCGAGAACAAGTTGTATCATCACAGTAACGCGTCAACACCACAGGCCACTGGAACGCTCAATAAAAAATAAAAATGTAAACACGAAATGTATTTACTACAAAGTCTTAATGTTTCTCTAACTCTATTTCGCCTATTATTGCAGATAACTTTGCTGAGAAATGCGTTCGAAATGCCTCATCTGCAACACACAAGTACACTGCACGCCTGCCCTGTGCACAAACAACATGAATAAGAGAGTATCATGAATAATCTCTCTTATTCGTGTTGTTTGTGCACTGGGCGGGCGTGCGGTGTACTTGTGTGTTGCAGATGAGCATTTGAACGGCATTTACAGCAAGTTATCGGCAATAATAGGCGAAATAGAGTAGAGAAACATTAAGACTTTGTAAGTAAATACATTTCGTGTTTACATTTTTTTATTTTATTGAGTCGTTCCAAGTGCCTGTGGTCAACACGATTGTAAACGAACAGATTCCAATCATTGTGTATTTTTGTGAAAATAACAATGTACAAATGTTCTAAGACATGTTAGCCTTACTTTAAGCCCGGCGCTCACGTGAGTTATTTTACTCAAGTAAAATGACGCACGAGTCAAATTATTCAACGAAAATCCGCCGCACACGTGAGTAAAATGACGCATGCATCAAATTACTCAACGAAAATCCGCCGCACACGTGAGTAAAATGACGCATGCATCAAATTACTCAACGAAAATCCGCCGCACACGTGAGTAAAATGACTCATGCGTCATTTTACTTGAGTAAAATAACTCACGTGTGCGCCGGGCATTAGACAAAAATTTTGCTGTTACGTACGCAATACCAGTAAGTGTTGTAGTGGCCGTATTATACGAGAACAGCCAGGAAAACTATTTAAAATTACTTTAATGACTTTTTGTAACCAATGCCACTTAGAAAAGTTTGGTCTATTGTTGTTCCAGCTCCATACATAGTTTGCAATGTTAAAAACAAAGATTTTGTAAGGTTTATTAGTTCTAGGTGCAATGCTACGGATAAATATAGGTCTGGTCTTAATTCATACTTTTCCGTATTGATAGTGGCTTGATTGTATAGTTAATCATCAGCACTAGTACATTGGCGATGTGAATCAAATTGTGTGAACATTGGTTTTTGCATTTATATCTTGCAGTTGCTTATTGAATTTGACCAGAAAGACTCGAGAAAACGTGAACGGATTGATGTGCATAAGGACAAGCTTGGACTGTTCTTAGTAGAGAAGAATTCAACAGATGGAGTTTAAATAGCTGAAATAAAGTTCTGTAAAACAAACAAAGACAAAAAAGATCATCACTTTTGTGAATGCTGTTTTGATGACCGAGTGTGTAGCGTGCGCATCCATGGATCCCTCACTGCACTCATATGAAAATGGGTGGCTAAAAGTGTGTTGCTTGGTATGGACCCACCTTTGAACGAATATTGAAATCGACTTGGACATCGCAACAATCCGGTAGTATATATATTATAATATACATTAACTATATATATAATATATACCAGTGTCCCTGGCAATCACGCAGATTCACGTACCCTGACGTGCCAGGGGACAACCTGGTATCTCATCTCCAGACGCTGGGCAATGCTAAGAATGACCATCGAGTGCTGGAGGACTGTTTGTACGGGACTGCTCGCCAATGCCGCAAGTCGATTCGATTGATTGTATCATTAGATGACGCATGCATATATACCTAAGAGCTCATAAATAGAGAAGAGTATGACACCATTTTAACAGCGTTTGCCATAGTTATCAATTGATATGTGAATAAATATATTCAAAACTTACCTGTGTTTTCGTCTATGATTCTCTCCTTAATGCATATGACACCACAATGAGCCTGAAAATGTAAAAAGTTCTTTTGAATACGACACGGTTTCATCAACAGTTTCCAAATGTGTTGCAATGTATTTCGGTCCCAGTTTTATATGCGGTGGCAGCACGCAGGTTGTAAGCTACGGGAGCGCTGGGGGCTGTTGGGATATTAGGTAAGCACAGTAACAGCACTTGTTCGCATTCCAGTATCAATCAGAAACGACATGGCAACTACAGCCTTAATATATATAATCAGCTGCTAGTCGCCGTGAGCACACATTATTTCTAAGCACGCTGAAATACCAAAGTCGGTGTCCTAATATCTCCAACAGCCCCAGCTTCCGTCATAGACAATAGAACACTAATCCAAATAAAAACTTGCGCGCGAATACATGCGAACATTTGGGAAAACTGGTGAGAACCGTGTCGTATTCAAAGAACTTTTTTGAAGAACACATACGATTTTCAGGTAATTGGGTGGTGTCATATATGAGTTAAGGGAGAATCATAGACAAAAACAAGGTAAAGTTTGAAAATATATTTATCAGCATATTGATAGAATATTTACTAAGCTGAAAACTATGCAAACGCTGTAAAACGGTGTCATACCTCTTCTCTATTAATTGCAGCTCTTTTAATATATATACATTAATTTCACGACTTGACATAAACCCCTGTGTTTTGATCACACATTCTTCTACGACGTGGCTGTGTAACCACCATCTTGCGTTTGTCCATTCCGGCCGGTTAAACGCGCACATCGGTTGTCCAAACTAACGCTTCTCCGGACTGCTCCACCAATGAGGCGAGCTGTCTCGTCCTGGTACTCAAACCAGCATCGTGCGGAGTTCTGCCGTGTACAATCGCACTGTTGGCACGGTCAGCTGGCTCCTGTAGGTAAACAAATATTACAGCATAGGCGTTGAGGGGGGCATGGTGAAGCAGTGAAAAAAACATTTAGAAATACTTTCTATTGTAGAACATGATAAAAGAAATGGTGAAACCGTAATGAGTTTTTCTTATAATGATGGATGTCACGGTAATACAGAAAAACATTTACAAAAGATTACATAATACGAGTTTTTCTATAGTTTTCTATAGCAGCGGCGAAGTGCATTTAATGAACATAGAGAAGTAGTTTGATTCAAATGGGCAAAGTGCAAGGAACGCATCACTACAAAGAGACCAGCTTAAAAAGTAAAAACAGATTATGATGGAAGGAGCAAAGAGAAGACGAGAGGGGGAAGAGAGGAGGTAAATAGAGATTGAGCACTCTGAATGTGTAGAAGGACGCACAAGAGAAAGGAGAAACGAGAGTATTAGACAGAGGAGAAGGCGGGAGAGAGAAACATAGAGGCGAGAGAGAATTAGCACGACGTTAGAGATACGGGTAACTGTAATGATACACGTCATTCGAACTATAACAAGCCAGCACAGGTACTTACAGAGTGGAGGGCTGAATATCACAGCGGCCAAACGAACGTGGAAGACTATGATCAACAGAGACTGCACTGGTTGACACAGACGTCTGCCGAGTAAATCGCACACGTTGTCCACTCACTGCTTCAAAATTCTAACAAAAAAATAACACTCACTCAGTTCCGCTCAAGGCCGATCGAAATATTGGCATAAGTAAAAAGTCTAACTCTATAAGGACCACTTTTGGCAACAGTGTGATGTTTGAAAATAGCATTAGTTATTTTACTTGATGAGGAAAGAAAGCCTTATGAACTCTGCACTAAGCAATTAATGGTGATATACTCCGTCGACAAACTTGACAAATTCCTATGTATTTAATCAGATATAAGTATTATAGAAACTTGTATATAGTTATATACATATACTTATCTATTTAAGTATGTTTTTATATAAACAACAGTGACCTAACACACTTCTATTATCAACTGATATTTCTGATACAACCACAATGAACCTGATCACTACAGCTTTTTAAGAGCGTGTATTGCGAGAATTTTGACTCAGAAAAACGAATATAGCTTTATATAGTCTCAACGCTGACAGGCGAAAAAATATCACTGATACACAACTATTCCAAACACCAGATTTTAATTGCAGTTATAGCATAGAAGAAATTGATGATTGACCACATCATACGCAGCAATAACATCGTTTGTGTGTCCAACTCTCAAAATCACAAATGGTGTGCTTTGAACGAAGTGCACATGAATTAAAGACAAAAGGCCGTGGCAATTCTGTTTGGTAAATATTATTGGAGTTTTAATGTCAATAATTCAGAGCACTTTCTGTCATTGTCATTCAGTGTTACTATCTGACTGCAATCCACAAGCTTCTCGTAATAACAGACTTTACGTGGCATTAGTACTACACTGCGTTACCGTCTAAAGTATGAAGCGGCTGTGTAACACTCATGACCTGATTTCTACGGTGCGACGGTATGGCATTACTGCACTGTGATAGATGTCCTCGCGCTACCGCGAGAAAATCCGAGAGATGGCAACGGTAGAACAGAGAACAGAATCAAAATTGTAATCGTGCATGATTTCATTGGATTTGGTGAATACGAAGGTTCTAAAGACACTGTTATCGTTCTCTACGACAATTGCTGTTGTTCAAGCGAATAATGGTAGGTATCATGAAAATTGGGAAAACACTGGAAAATTCTCGCAATACACGCTTTAAACAACTGTATTGAAATAAATAAGAGACATACAGAAATAAAATAATTAAAATTTACTTGTACAGTTGTAGTTCAATTTATTATTTATTTGCATTTGGCTATAATTTGTTAACAATTAGTTTCTTTAAATATGGGATAGGATGTTATTAATTTAATATGGAAACATAATTACACCAAAATTAATTACAAAACATTGAAAAATACACACCTACCACTTCTAGGAAATATAAAAGTTCTAGTAAAATTCATGATTCAGAACAAAGAAGCCATATATAGTTGTCGGCCGTGCACGACATATATGATACCAGAGAAATCATATATAAGAATGCTACAATTATTTATTCACGGAATCTCTGCCGTCCATTTACAACTTCCTCTCCTGCATATCCCCTATCCTCAGCCTACCCGAGGCGGGCCGGGAACTGCCGAACTGATACGCCCAACAATATGGAAGGATTATATCAATATGGCAATAATTCATTTCATACTTACCAATGCTGGCCAAAGATTTCTTTGAGACTTGTATCATTAGTTCCAGCCCAGACTAAAGCTCTTT